ATTTTGGGGTGTCGGGTGGGATTTTGGGGTGTCGGGTGGGATTTTGGGGGGATTTTGGGGTGTCTGGCGGGATTTTGGGGTTCTGCTGGGATTTGGGGTGTCGGGTGGGATTTTGGGGGGATTTGGGGTGTCGGGTGGGATTTTGGGGCTGTTGTTTGGGATTTTGGGGTGTCGGGTGGGATTTTGGGGGGATTTTGGGGTGTCGGGTGGGATTTTGGGGGGATTTGGGGTGTCGGGTGGGATTTTGGGGGGATTTGGGGTGTCGGGTGGGATTGGGGCCGGGCTCGCTCACGTCGTTCTCGGCGCTGCCGCACAGGCTGCAGGATTTGCACTCGATGCATTGCCAGCGGTACGAGCGCGCCGCCGCCGCCATGGCCAGCGAGAACTGCAGGCACGACGGGTGCCCTGGCCAGAGCACCCAAAAGCACCCCAAATCACCCAAAATACACCCCAAAATCACCCCAAAATCACCCAAAATACACCCCAAATCACCCCAAAATAACCCAGAACTGAGCCCAGAACCCGCCCCAAAAGCACCCCAAAATCAGTCCAAAATCACCCCAAATCACCCAAAATACACCCCAAAATTACCCTAAAATAACCCAGAACTGAGCCCAGAACCCGCCCCAAAAGCACCCCAAAATCAGCCCAAAATTACCCCAAATCACCCCAAAATCACCCAAAATACACCCCAAAATTACCCAAAATACACCCCAAAATCACCCCAAAATAACCCAAAATACACCCCAAAAATACCCAAAATACACCCCAAAATTACCCCACAATAACCCAGAACTGAGCCCAGAACCCACCCCAAAATCACCCCAAAATAACCCAAAATACACCCCAAAAATAACCCAAAATACCCCAGAACTAAGCCCAGAACCCACCCCAAAATCACCCCAAAATCACCCCAAAATCAGCCCAAAAATACCCCAGAACTGAGCCCAAAATCCCCCCAAAATCACCCCAAAAATAACCCAAAATACCCCAGAACTGAGCCCAGAACCCGCCCCAAAATCACCCCAAAATCACCCAAAATACACCCCAAAATCACCCCAAAATAACCCAGAACTGAGCCCAGAACCCACCTCAAAATCACCCCAAATCACCCCAAAATCACCCCAAAATCAACCCAAAAATACCCCAGAACTGAGCCCAGAACCCGCCCCAAAAGCACCCCAAATCACCCCAAAAATAACCCAAAATACACCCCAAAAATACCCTAAAAATACCCCAGAACTGAGCCCAGAACCCACCCTAAAATCCACCCCAAAATCACCCCAAATCACCCCAAATTACCCCAAATTACCCGAAATCACCCCAAGTTACCCCAAAAATAACCCGGAACCCACCCCAGAATCACCCAAAAAACATCCCAAAAATATCCCAAAACCCGAAACCTTAAAATCCCCAAAATTACTCCAAAGTCCCAAAAAATGCCCTAAAAACCCCAAAATTGTGCACCTGTCCCCAATGTCCCGTGTCCCGTGTCCCCATCGATGTCCCATGTCCTGTGTCCCCTGTCCCGTGTCCCGTGTCCCCTGTCCCGTGTCCCAGCGATGTCCCGTGTCCCGTGTCCCCCTGTCCCATGTCCCGTGTCCCGTGTCCTGTGTCCCCATCGATGTCCCGTGTCCCGTGTCCGTGTCCCGTGTCCGTGTCCCATGTCCCATGTCCCGTGTCCATGTCCGTGTCCGTGTCCGTGTCCCATGTCCCGTGTCCCATATCCCATGTCCCGTGTCCGTGTCCCATGTCCATGTCCGTGTCCATGTCCCATGTCCCCTGTCCCATGTCCCATGTCCCATATCCCATGTCCCATGTCCCCTGTCCCATGTCCCCTGTCCCCTGTCCCCTGTCCCGTGTCCGTGTCCATGTCCCATGTCCCATGTCCCATGTCCCATATCCCATATCCCATGTCCCATGTCCCCTGTCCCATGTCCCTGTCCCATGTCCCGTGTCCCATGTCCCCTGTCCCATGTCCCCTGTCCCATGTCCCCTGTCCCGTGTCCCGTGTCCCGTGTCCCGTGTCCCAGTGATGTCCCTGTGTCCCATGTCCCCAATGTCCCGTGTCCCCTGTCCCCTGTGTCCCATGTCCCATGTCCCGTGTCCCGTGTCTGTGTCCCCTGTCCCCTGTCCCGTGTCCCATGTCCCGTGTCCGTGTCCCGTGTCCGTGTCCCCTGTCCCATGTCCCGTGTCCCGTGTCCGTGTCCCCTGTCCCATGTCCCATGTCCCATGTCCCATGTCCCCTGTCCCATGTCCCATGTCCCATATCCCCTGTCCCATATCCCATGTCCCCTGTCCCATGTCCCATGTCCCATGTCCCCTGTCCCATGTCCCATATCCCATATCCCATATCCCATGTCCCCTGTCCCCTGTCCCCTGTCCCGTGTCCGTGTCCGTGTCCCATATCCCATATCCCATGTCCCCTGTCCCGTGTCCGTGTCCCCTGTCCCATATCCCATGTCCCATATCCCATATCCCCTGTCCCCTGTCCCATGTCCCCTGTCCCCTGTCCCGTGTCCGTGTCCGTGTCCCACCTGCGCGCCCGCAGTCGGCACACGCGATCAGCGGCTCCTCGCTGCCGCGCGCTCTGGGGCCGCCGGCGCAGAAGTCGCAGGGGCCCTCGGGGGGGGGCCCGGGGGGGGCGGGGCGGCCTGGGGGGGTGACAGGGGACCCCCAAATCCTGGGTGGGACCCCGGAAAAACCACCCCGAAAAACCGCGCCCAAAACCGGCAGGAAATGGGGAAAACGCACGAAAATCGCCCCAAAACCACCCTAAAATCACACCCGAGAAAATCCGGAATCCACCCCAAAACCACCCCAAAATTACCCCCAAAACCACCCCAAAATCACCCCAAAATTACCCCAAATCCACCCCAAAATCATCCCAAAATCACCCCAAAATTACCCCCAAAACCACCCCAAAATCATCCCAAAAACACCCCAAAATTACCCCCAAAACCACCCCAAAAACACCCCAAAATCACCCCAAAATTACCCCAAATCCACCCCAAAACAACCTCAAAACCACCCCGAAATCACCCAAAAATCACCCCAAAATAACCCCCAAAATCACCCTAAAATCCCCCCAAAAATTCCCCCCAAACCACCCCCAAAATCACCCCAAAATTTCTCCCAAAATAACCCCAAAATCTCCCCAAAATTACCTCCAAAATCACCCCCAAAACACGCCCAAATTCACCCCCAAATCCCCCCAAAAACACCCCAAAATCACCCCAAAATCACCCCAAAACCACCCGAAAACCACCCCAAAACCACTCCAAAATTCCCCCCAAAACCACCCAAAAATCACCCCAAAATCACCCCAAAACCACCCCCAAAATAACCCTAAAATCCCCCAAAATTCCCCCCAAAACCACCCCAAAACCACTCCCAAAACCACCCCAAAATACCCCAAAATTACCCCAAAGCCACCCCAAAATCAACTCCCAAAATTTTCCCAAGAACATCTCAAACTGCCCCCAAAACCCCCCCATAATCACCCCAAAATCCCCCAAAAGAACCCCAAAGCCTCCCAAAAAATCACCCCAAAATGT